GTTACGTATTTCATAATTTTGCTTTAGGCAGAAAGTAGGGTCTAAAAATACAGCTCCATTAAAGTCTTGTGCCCACCAGCTAGAGCAAGAACGCAGTAAAATAACTAGATATAATTATAGGGAATAACTCATCTACTTTTCTCCCTTAACACCTCCCTCGTTTTTTGTTTTTTTTTTTTTTTTAATCGGAGTAACAAAAGGAGGAAATAAGGAAAATTGTGCATAATAGCACTAGACACCTTTGGGTTATAAGCTTATTTTTCAATTCCTTCTTTGCCACAGAAAGAAGCATTACTCACTCGCACGCACAGGTTTTCAAGCCTCAGGGTTATCTCATAGGGAAGCGAAAGTATGAATTTGTGCCATCAAACCACAGGATTTCAATTAAATCTGAACAGCCTCACTGTCATTTTTGCCTTCACAAACATTTCACTAGGAAGTGAATTGCCTTCTGAGCGTGTTCGAACGCTCGTGCTCTCCATGACTGCGGTGGACTCGTGCTCACACCTGCTGAAGTTAAGGTCAGCTAGAGACAGTTATGCTTTTTCCATTATAACAATTTTCAGCAGCTCACTGCTTCCTGATATGTTCTTCATAGTTTCCCACAATCTGGAAGTGAATTTATTTTTGAGACACTTCAGCAAAAAAAATCTTTGGGCAATTTTAGTCCTGCCAAGGTGGAGGGCAGGGGTGCGGAAACCATCTTTCCAAGCACGTGATATTAACTGGCTTTTTCTGCTCTCGCCCCTAAACCATGGCTCAATTTAAACGCTGGAAAAATATTTCTCCTACTTCCTGAAGACTCTCTCAGCAAACCCCCCCACCAAAAAACAAGCTGTGATATTCAATGCATACTTGCTTTGTATACAAAGGCTCTAGTTAATGCATGGTATGGTACCCGAGTAGAAAACTGGTAGCAAAAATATCTACGCTATACAGGTTTTCTGCACGAAATACTTTCCGTAGTAAAAATCATAGAAAATGAGGGTGGAAGGGACCTCAGGAGGTCACATCTAGTCCAACCCCCTGCTCCAAGCAGGACCAGCCCCAACTGCATCATCCCAGACAAGGCTTTGTCTACCTGGGTCTTCAACACCTCCACGGATGGAGACTGCACCACCTCTCTGGGTAGCTTGTTCCAGTGTTTTACTGCCCTCCTAGTGAGAGAGTTTTTCTTAATATCCAACCTCAACTTCCCTTCCTGCAGCGTGAGCCCATTGCTCCTTGCCCTGCCATCTGCCCCCACTGTCAGCATTCAAAAGCTTGTCCATCACAACTACACAGCTGTTCCAACAAATGATATCCCCCTAAGAAACACTCGTCTCCAACAGAATAACTTATTTCATTTCCCCCTCACAACTCCTGTTCAGATGGATTTTCCTCCCCCCCACTAGGATTCCCATCCCTGCATTTGCTCCCCATGCTTCAAAACCATGCATCTGGAAGCTTGTTTCGAGACTCAGTTGGAAGCAGCACGAAACCAGAGTTCAGCTTGGTCTCCCACAGGATAGCATTAAAAAAAAAAAAAAAATGGGTTTGAGCTCTCCTAGGCTTTACCGAGGAGCCAATTTCATCCCAAAAAGAAATCGCTAATGGGCTGGAGACCTAGCACTATACATCCGGCGCGGCCAGGATTCACACCGAGACGGAGGGAGGAACAACGCTTCCAATTTCATCGCTGAAAAAAAGAAAATCAATTTCCTTCCGAGGTACTATATAAATCAAAGTCCCCAACACCGTCTCATCTACACTGCAGCCTCTCCGATTCCTCCATCTATCAGACTCAAAAAAGAAGGGGCAGATATGCCCTGCTTGAACATGAATTGCACAACCTCAGAAGGACTGGCGCACTGTCTCCGAGATCTCTCTCTGCGAGCAGATCACTAACTAACTATATTGCTAAATACAGTCCTATAGCGGTGCGTGTCATTTTGCCATGCAAGCTAAAGAAGCCAGGAAGACCTCGTAATCTAGTTTTTGATCTATTTTGCTTATGTACTGCAGAGGCAAAGGGCATGGAGTTCACTTAAGTGAGTATTTCTATAGCAAACACAATAAAGGCAGGCAGCTTTCAACATAGGAAACAGATTAAGGCTCTGCCTAATGAGGAAGGAGATTCTCGGGACTTGCGAGGACTTTGGGTTGCATTAAAAAAAGAAAAGGGACCGTTTCTGGCTGCACATCCTCCGAAGTGGGCGCACACCGTTATGGAGAGACATCTAAAGGAAACGAATCCCATTGTTAACCTTTGCTGAAAATGATGTGGGAGAACAAGTCACCGCACCCCTTTCTGAAAGGGATCCAAATATTGCGGTCGCATACACGGAAAGGCTTTGACGTAGGCTGGGATGAGAAGCGAGCACTTACAAAGTCCTCCAGACTTCCCTCTCTCCGCATCCCAGCCCCTAGTTTTAACAGCAGCGGGGGGATTTGTTACCAAACTGTGGCTTCCAAGAGGAGGGGAAGGATGGCAGGGAATGTTTTTCATTAAAATGCATAAAGCCAATTTGCAAAATTACGTCTGCCCAATTAACAAACGAATAATTCCCCCCTATTCTAACAAGACATCACTGCTTCTCAACTGCAGCAGGGCTAGAGCGCTGTAGCCATGGGGGTCCTGGAAGTATGCAAGAAGCTTTTTTTTGGTAATAGCATTTATTTGACCAACTGTATAATTGGGAGAGACAGAGTTGATTGAATGAGATCACCAAAACTGCCCCCCCCCAAACCAAAAAAAACAAACCTCTTGCTTCTCATCAGTTCTCAATGCCACCCCTACAACACATACGCAGATCCAGCGGCTCAAAACTTTTGCACAAAGGCATCAAGCAGGCTATGAGCACTATTCCAGCCTACAGGCACTCCCAGAGGCTGAAAATACCCAACTCGAAAATATAGCAACCGACTGCCACTTCCACACTGATTATGCTTGCTGCTTGGGGCCTGCATGAGCGGTGCCGTGCAACAGCGTGTCTTACCATCTGACAAAATGATGCATGCACTTTATTCCCATCTCCCTACCTGTACAAGGGGAAAAAAAATCAAATGAAAAAACCCCGTATCTATTTGTAGAGGTGTATAGCAATAGCACATATGGCATGCGTGAAACCAGGTCAACTTATTCTATTTTGAAGAGGCTTGCACCTGAAACTAGTGTGATATGCCATATGTATCATCACCTCCGAAAAAAAATCCATGCTCTGCAGTAGTATCTTTTACGCCAAAAAAAAGCCAACAATTGAACTCGGATATTCATTAGCAAAGAACAAAATTCCATTGCACGGATATTTTAACGGCATCCAGAAGGGGACAAAAATTACCTGATGAATGGAAATTATCACTAGCATGACAACCCACTCTGCAGTTTGAAATAAGCCCCAAATGGTGACTATTTGGCTAGCTTGTTAAAAAAGTAGCTATTAATTTAATGAGGGACATATCTGTCACCTCAGTAGGCAAATTTAATTCCCAAAGAACTGAAAGTCTGAAAAAGTCATGATCATGCCGTTAAAAGCAGAGAACTAGAAATTAAAAAGATGTACGCTCAACTCCCCAGGTGAGCCAGTGACTTTTAAATTCATGGATCTTTAAGGCTAGAAATTACCTTGCCCATCTGACTTTGACTTCCTAAATAAGACGGACCATATAATTTAGCAAATCCGTCACCAAGCCAGAGTACAACTGTCTAAAGAGAAAAAGAAAAAATCTACCAAGCAATAAAGCTTCTAAATACTGTATTTTCAAGCATACCACACCCCCCCAAAATAAAACAAGCACCTTGTTGTTGCAAGATGGGAGGTAGAAAAGTTTGTTCCAACATCATGGTCAATGTGGTGACAGATGAAGTCCTCCTGGAAACAGCGTCCAGGAAGTGTGGCATCCCAAGAGACGGTCTGGCTTAGGCAGCAGGAAATCCATGGCGTGCAAGACCGTAACAAGGCTGGGCCTCAAACCCATCCGAGGTCCCCCACGCAACATATTCCTTTACTGGGAATAGTTCTTTATATAAAGTTTCTGTCAACCTCTCTCATGTTTGTAAGTCTGTTTAAGCAAAGTGGGCTTTCTGCACCACAAACCTCATCAAGACATTACACACCGCATGCAGCAGCTCACTTCTCTGAGCCAGCACAAAGTCCTCAGGCTGCAAAAGGGTTAATGCTGGGCTCTAACCCTGCTCTTTGCAGCCTCGAAGCTATCCTGGCATCCAGGAGTCACAGTGTCTGCTTGCTCTATTACACCCTGCTTCTGTTCAAGTGGAGAAGTTGATTTTTTTTCTTTGGTGAAAATATGCCACCCAATTTTGGAGGGCTCAGTTTTGGAGAAAAAGAGGTGCAAGTGCTATATAAGGAGACCACACACCTTGTGGACCACACACCTTAAGGACCTAATGGTTCATTGTTAAAAGCACACACCTTATTTCAACTTTGAACTTCTCCAGTTTCAGCTTCAACCAGTGGCTGAATCTTATTAGACCTTTGCCAAAGAGATTAAAGAGCCTTTAAATACCAGAACTCTTCCCTCTGGGCAGGTACAAGAGAGACCGTGATCAAACCTTTTCTTGGTGGGGAGGGGGTGGGAGGAAGAGAGAGACAGCTTCTGAAGTTTCTCACTGGAATAAGGGCTTTCCTAACCACAAACCTCTCCAATTTTTCAAAATGTTTTTTCAAAAAATGTCAACGCCAGAACCGAACACTGCATTTTAGCAGTAGATTCTTTACTATTGCATGCCAAAGTAAACGCCTTGTGCAATCCTCGTCTGTCGTGCAAACTTGTCTAAGGTCTCAGTTTCCAAAACGGCAGATATTTGCCTAAAGCACGGCACAAAATGCCAGGAGATTGATAAAGCAATTCAAAAACCTCGGATGGAAGCGAAGTACTCTTACATGTCCGTAAGCGGTGAATAAAATCTCTTATGTGACGTGTGCATTGTTTTGCAGAGACAAAAAACATTCAGGTTCTGATCATTCCCAAGACAGCGTCTAACAGTCTGATGTACTTACATGATACAGAGCCAGGACTGTTGATACTGCACTCCCGTGACCGTTGCTGTGACCCCCTGAATTGTATCTGATAGGAGATGAACTAGAAAGAAAAAAAAAAGAATATAAAAACCAATTTGAATTGCAGTCCAGAGTGCAGGCTTCAAAACAGACTTCAGAGTCCTGATAGAAAACCATTGTCTAAGCCCTGGCTCAGATACCAAACTTGTATTCACTTATCGGTCGATTGGACTGATGCATAGGAAAAAAGAGGATAGAAGAGGAAAAGCACTCAGCCTAATGTTTCCAAACACTGCTCTTTCAAATATTTTACAGCCCTGGAGTACAGCATTCTTCTTTGTTACAAGGCAGACCTAGCCAGGTTGTAAGAACAACACATTATGCAAAAAGAGGCTGAACTTGATGATGGAAAATTTTTAATTTTTTTAAAATCACTGGACTGTTAATCCCATAGCTTGCTCTGTGGAATAGTTTGTGCTTATTGCTAGGGACAGAAACTACATTTAAAAACTGGCATAAGTGATCGGAAACGGGTTCAGATCTGTAACGCAACAGAAGTTCAGGGCACATAAATTGCTTTCAAAATGACTCAAACCGATTTAAGATGAACCTGGATGGATGTAGTACCAGACTTCACTGATTTAGGTTAAATCAGTTTATTGAACTTCTGTCCCAGATCCCTTCCAGATTCCAACTCACTCACGGTCCCCCAGCATCCCAGGATGCTTTGCAGCTTCCTTGCAAACATCCCACGGTCAGGGTGGACGGGGTAGCTCCAGCCAAGCAGGGAGGCATCTTTTAGCACCCCACAACTTCTGGCATGGGCCACTGCAGGCCTGCGGCTGCATTTCCTGAATCAAAAGTGAATGTCTCCACTTGCTTATCGATTCAATCTATGCAGCTTGGACTAACCTGTGAAGATTGAATCAATACAGCCTCAGGGCTGACGACAGTCTATACTTAGCTTATATATGTTTAATTGCCATTTAAAAGGCAGAAAATGTACGGAGATATTAAAAAAAAGCACAGAATAATCAAAGCATGAATGTACATACCATACTTGGAGAATCTGGCAGGTTTGTTCATCAAGTTTACTAATGATTGCAATAGCAAGGGTTTAAATAGGAGATATGCACTTTATACTAGTGCTAACAATTGATTCTCAGTTTGAAGGTGATAAAGTATGCAACGCCAATATTTCTTGGGTAAGCTACTGTTGTTATATGGCTAACAGGCTACAGGGCTTGCCAGTGGTGCCATGCACTGTCAATACAGATAAATTAGATGCAATCACTGACTCCTTCATCTAACGCTGTAGGCACCTAGGGTTGCTCTCTATGTTTCTGGAGAAGACTAAACAACCAACAGTCCCTTCCCGTGTAAGAGAAGCAATGTTAAGTCTTCAAACAGGAGACTGAATCAAGGACTCCTCAATTACTTGGTTACAGCTATGAATGGAGGCAGTAGAAACTAATATGCTATCAAAATAGCCCATTTTGGGCCCAGAGACTCTAAGCTGAGGCTCTCTGGGACTTGGTGACAACCCTTGAAAATTAGAAGGGCACCCACAAGCACCATTGTTTCCATAGAAGTGGTCCAATTTTATGAGAGAAACATTTGAAACCAAAAACTAGAGGAGATATGAAGAGCACTCCAGCACCCAAGGACTACCCTCGGCCATCTGGTTCACCTCCGTAAAACGTTAGTCAAGGGTCTAGTTTCTAAGCATAAAGCACATCTTCCAAAAATTCACAAAGGCACCACTTCACAGATGCCAGATATCAAGACATCATGGTTTAACAAATCTAAATTAATCGTCTGCGTGGGCCAGAAAGGAAGAGACTGAAGAACCCAAATGATGAAGAACGTGGCAGAAAAAGCAATTCATTCTTCATAAGCAGTCCAAACCTGTTCCCAGGGGAAGGCAATAAGGGAACCACAAGGAGACAGCTAAGGGGAATACATTTTTTTGTTCAAATGAAAAAAAGTAAAAAAGGTAGTTACCATTCCCTTCCCGAGGGGTTCCTGAATCGGTAAATAAAGTGCTCATGATTTTTTCAAAGTTGCAGCTTGGCTCCATGTTGTCAGGATCTTCCGCAAAGTGTTTCAGCATTTCCCGCAGTACGTCATCCAAGGAAGTAGCCGTTTCATCCAGGATGATGCTAGCTCGGGCCAGGAACCCATCCAGGTCCCGGTGGGCTCGGACTTCCTCCTCGAAGTTCTTTAATTTCAGGTACTGCGTGAAGACGGCACCTCGTTAGACACCCCACGTGCTTCTCCCGTGCGATAGCGGACGGCTAGATCACCTGCCTCCCCCATGCAGAGTTAGCTACAGAGCCACAGTTGAAGGTTATATTGGTCTCATTTAGGCAATAAGTTGTTCTGCTGTTGCTAATAAATTATTGATCGCATGGTAAGTGGACAAGCTGGACAACGTGTGCAATTCTTTAATCAGGCCTTGCTGTCCCTACCAGAGGAGATGTTGCCAGAGCGAGGCAGGTGGAGACGAGATGCCCTGGACCAAGCATAGCATCTGACAATATAGGCTGCCACCTATGAAAGCTCATGCCCCCTACACCAACTGGTCTCCAAGGAGCCATCCTACCCTGCCTTGGTCTGAAGATTTTAAGTTCCTTACCAAGCTCTGAATCGTTTAAGAGTGAAGCGTTTCATTCTTATAAGAGGTATCCAGGTAGTAGCCATATTGGTCTAGTGGCAAAAGGAAACCGGGACTCGTGGTAGAGGTGATATCCTATTAGAAAAAACTAGACTTTTGCCATCTAGAATTTTTGTTGTTGTTGCAAAAATCTAGTTGGTTTAATAAAAGATATCACCTCTACCATGAGTCCCGATACATTTTTATAAATGAATTGGAGATCCAAATTGCCAAGGCTCATTCATCTCTACATGGAAGGTCAGCACCATGTCTGGGTAGCACTTAAGCCCTGACATAAGAAGTCTAACGTTTAGTGTTACTGCCCAAGAGGAGCAAAGTGCAAAGATTAGGCTTAAAAGCCTAAATGTATAAAAAGGCAGCACATTTTTTTTTTAAAAAGCTTCAAATAATTTATAGCAACAGGCTAAGGCCGTTTGGCTAGAAGTATCTTGAACTCAACAACGCTTTATAGATCAGACAGCCAAGACCTACTTGTACGCGCCCGAAAAGTGCAAGGCTTGCACCGGGAAACGATGTAGGATGCGGACAAACAAGACAGAAGAAGAAAGCACCAAAAAAAACCAAAAAAAAACCCAACAAACCCCCCAAAAACCCAAACCAGCCTGCTCTTCTCAAAAGGAGACCATTGCCTATCAAGGTTGGGTTTCATGCAACAAGCCTACCAAACAGTACTGGACACTACTGAGTGCCATGCTCCCTGTCGACTCCCAGGGACAGCTCTCAGCCTGAATGAAACGACTCCACAAACCAACTGAGAACGCAACCAGGCTAGGTTACACGACCTTTCCTTACCTTCCGAGCCATGTCTCTGCAAGTCAAGTTATCCTAAAACCAGCCTTGCTTACTGAGCTGCAAAGCCCACTCCTGTCAACGACAGTTTTAAAAGGCCCTGAGCACCCACAGACGCCGACTTTAAAAAAAAAATAATGCACTTAGAGGAGTTTCGGGCCAAAGGGACAAAAAGTTTCCACGTACTCAGAGTAAAGTTTTTTTTGCCATGCAAGAGGAATTAGGACCCCACACGCTATTTCCAAAACGGATTTAGGTACTTTGAAGCCCATGTCAATAGAAAATAGGCTCCAAATCCCTAAAAGCTAGATGCTTTTAAAGGCCATTTAGGCATCTAGTGACCACAAAAATCAATGTGTACCTTTAAAAAAAAATCTAGCGTCACTTTGGAAGGAGGAGACTTGAGGGAAAAAGTTTCCCTATGACCCTGATTGGGAGGGTCCACCTTTTGACGCCGATAGAGCAAAACGTTACTACCTCTTTTCCATGTCAAAGCCTAACACACAGTGCAGAATTCTCTAGCATTTTCCTAATGACTGTAATTACCAAGGCAGCTATCGACTTGTCAATACAAGCGCCGCATCCATTGCAATTAACACTGTTTTACTTTGCATCAATCAATTTCTTACACGCGCTCATTTGCACGGAGGAGGATTTCAAATTTGTAACCAAGAAGGCTTTCCTCGGCTCAAAGCCTCCACTTGCCATCTGTTCAGAAGGGCTGGACTGAATCGCTACTTCTTTTTCACATTGGGGCGGTCCCGTTAAGGAAGGGGTCTGCGTCCTAGGTGCTGCACGTATGAAGCAACGCAAAGGTTGGGAGCTCTCTGGTGCAGGCACCGGCTCGCGTATCAGAGAGGTCTCGAAGGTGGACAAACCAGAGGTGGTGTGTGAGGGTAAAGCAATGGTTTAACAGGAATCCTAATTACTTGATCAATGCCTGATGGGGGTTATTTGCAGGCAGCTCTGTGCAGATGAAGTCTGAAGTAATGCTGCCAAATGCAGATTCCCTTCTCTGCGGAAGGATAGGATGGGAAGTATCTCTAGGAAAGCCAGACCGATGAGCAATAAAAGCGACTAGAATGAAACCCGTGGGTCGGCAGAGCGAGAGACAGGTTCAACGTGAAAAAAAAGGATTTCGTCCTCAGGGACCTGCGTTCGCAAGGACTGCGGCTGTTTCCACATATTACTCGAAAAGGCTTTATGGAGATGCAGAGCATCCTGCTCAAGTGCAGGCTCTAGCGTCTTGACCCAAGGGTAGTGCTATCCGCTCCCATCGCTGGTGGGTTTGAAGAGCAGGCTCAGCTGCGCGTCACCGAGCAGAGAAACCGGACAAAGAGCCCATCCCTGCGGGCTTGACCCAAAGGAGCTCCCGGCAGAAGAAAATGCCAGAGGTCTCAAGGCAAGTCCCGAGATTAGGGGATGAGTCTAGAAATCAGGAGAGCAGCGTACAAGTCCGTGCATTGTCACGGATCCCTCCCTACCGTGGGCAAGTCAAGTCGTTTGGTTCTTCAAGTCTATATCCATGACATGGGGGTAACAGCCCCTTACCAATACCCCTGCAGGGTAAATGGACAAAACAGACTGAAAGACCCTCTGATTGGAGGAATAAACACTTAACATTAAAAAGGAGACCTCTTTGGTATACGAGACATGCATAGAAAGTGCTGTACTGGATTGCCTTGATTATAAGTCAACCCTACATAAAGAAAACGCTCAACTTTCAGGTTCATTTTCAGAAGAAACATCTCCCCCCACCCTCTGAACACACATCTGTGTTTGTGAGATGGTCAATCAAAAAGTAGGTGTTACAGCAAGTTACAACCAGATTACTGGTGCCAATTAGAGACAAGCCTCAATTTTTATGTTTTTTGTTTGGTTTTTTTTTTTTTTTTTTTTGGAGGAAAAAAGGTCAACATAGCTAGAATAATATGGTAGTTGGAAGTGCAAGGACATGGATATTCTAAACTTATCACATGGACACAATGTTCACGTGTGTGCAAGCACAGACCATCTGGGAAGGAGCGGACATTAATCTCTCTCAATAAGGCCCATCTCAATGGGATGCTTCACGCGAAAGTCTACTTAATGACAATCCAAACAAGGCTCTTTCAAAATGGCAGCTTGCAGAAAGAATGGAAATAACTGAACTCCTTTACATGTCTAAAAGTTAACTGCAGCATGATGCATCCCAAGCTGTCTTTGCGGAGAGAGAAAGGGTCTTTCAAGAGGTTGAAGTATTTACCGGAATAGAAGAAAGGGACTTAAAACTCCTTCCCCCTTCATCAGCCACAGCAATGGTTCCTTGGCCAACAACAAGACGTATGGGTTTACATATACCATCCACCTACAACAAAGCTCTGATTGCTTATCCAAGATGATCCAACGTTGCATAGCTGCTGGGCTGCTGCTGTTTCGGCAATTAGATCCAGCTCGCAAATGCCCAAAGAATGTTTCGCAAAGGTGTGCCAAAAATTTGTTCTCACAAGTGCTACTCCCTAAGCTTTCCCCATTGTCACAGTTGCTCAAGGCAGTTCACTAGAAATCCACCGAGATCTCTGTAAACAGGTTCATATCCTTCCAACGACCTTTGGCTATCATTCTTTTCACGCTTACGGGGCACATAAGCTCAGCACCAGCTGGGGGCAAGAACTTCCTTTCTTTGAAATAAGACTATGCAAGGAAGTGGCATAAAGGGAGTTCACGCATGGCCCGTGCATCTCCACCAGCTGCTGCCTGAGGCAAGATACTAAATTAAGAGTGCTGGTATGCTGAGAACAAGCAGCGTCAGGCATACTCCTCCATCCCGGAGAATTAAATTGGAAAATGAACACTAAGAGGATGAGTAAAGCTTTACACTGGACACCTGCAGTCAGTGGAACCCAAATGATAGCCCCAGAAGTTAGCTCTCCTTTGACATGGGGTCCAAAAAGTCACTCTGACACACACACACGGATGTGAATGTGACCAGCAAGATTAGCACTGCATATGCAACTCAGGCTGAAGCCTTTCCAAACTGGTTTTTGAAGAACAACAGATCAGCTCTTTCAACATACTTGCTGGGAGAGGGTATTTGGGAACCTGTTCTTCCTAGGCAGCAGGTGATGGAGAGACCATACAAAAAGCACCGGGAAGGCTACTCTGCTATAGGGCGCTCAGAGATGCATTATCTGACAACTGATGCACCCAAGTTTACCAGAATGGATTAAAAAAAAGAAAAAAAAAAAAATGTGGTCATAGTCTTTAACTGGTCTCTAATTCTAGGTCTACATCACTGCCATAGCACTCTGGAGAACACCAGCAAGAACCATGACCAAGTCACCCAACTCTTGCATTACACAGACCGAACCCAGAAAAAGGGCAGTGAAACCCACCCACCCCCACTGCTCAACTGAGTCAAGGTGTTCAAGACAAGATTGGACAAGCACCTGGCTGGGGTTACTTAACCCCAGCGCTCTTTCCTGCCCGGGCCAGGGGGTTGGACTCGATCTACTAGGTCTCTTCCAACCCTAGAAATCTATGAGTCACAGCCGGGGATGCTACTTGCACCTCAAAAATGGTGCTCACTGTGAAACGTGTAGGTCCTCACTCCTGTCTGCCCTGTTAGTGCGGTCTTTTCACCTGCAAAATTGGCCCAACAGGCAGTCCTAGAGGCAATACTAAAGGACAGCCTAGCTGAAGAAGAGAGAATTAAACAAATCCCGTGCCCCTAAGCAGCAAAGGGAAGGAGCCGCTTGTTCAGCCAGCCCTGGAGACGGCCGACAAGAAACGGACACCCTGGAAGACAGTGTCCCGATAAGATGCTTGCGGCATAAGCGGGTCTATGGGGCAGCGGGTGTGGGACAGCCTCAGAGATGGGGAAATGCATTCTGCCTTCCTCCCAGCTGGATTTGCCCGAAATCACATGCTGGCTCACACACAACATGCTTCGAGTTTGGGCTAATCCACACTCCTCGGCTGAAGGACGCAGCATCACGCAGCAGCTTTCCAGTGGAAGCAAAAAGCCACTTTAATAAAAGACAACATCTGCTCTCTCCAGGCAATTCTAATCCCTTTTCTTCATCGCCTCTGAACGCAGCCTCACAAGCACTTTGCACCGGTCCTCCCCTGGAGGCAAACAAATTGGCAACAGAATCCTTATCTAACCCTGCAAAAGTATCCGACAGTTTGGCATTTATGATACAACAGCATGTTGAAACACTCTCAACCCTACCAGTGAGCAGAGGTGTGAAGCCAAGCTAGGCACAAAGCAGAACACACCAGCTGCCACATACCCTAATTTCTCACACACCACATGCCCCCAAGGCAGACATGGCACTTCGGTCTGCCTTCCCTAAAACAAAGGGGGAAAAAAAAAAGATTTTTCCAAAATAATGGCTGCATAGTGCAGAAGCAGAGATTAATCCTCTGCTCACTTGGCCTCCCTTTTTCACGCAGGCAAGAGGTAGTTTTAACCCCCTCGCAGCTGAATTGTTACCAGGTCTTGGTAGTTTCAGCTTTTGGCTGAATGACCGGCTGCTGCTGAAAACTAGACTCCATGGGAAATATCTAGGATCTTGTAAAGGGCTAAAAAAGAAGTGTGCAGTGCTGTGAAATAGGAGAAGGGAGACCAGGAGCCGCTAACAGCAAAACTGCTGAGGCAAGGAGAGCTTGATTAGTGGAAGATTAAGACCATTAAAAGAGAAGAGAGGGTTGTTCAAAGCTGAGTGCAACCACACTGTTTTCCACCTCCCCTCCACACCAGATCTACCCCTGCTGGGCTCTGCCCCTCCTTCCAGCAGCTCTACGGAGACAAGTGAAGAAAAAGCAATGAAAGTCATCTTACAGCATCGCCATGCTTATATTCTCGGCAGAAAAATCAGCTTCCTTGCTAAAGGCACGTGCCCCCACTTTGGGTGGGCAAAGGGTAAGTGTGGCATGAATAAATATGGTCATTTTCTATCCTTTGCATCTCCTTTTTAAAAAGTAGGCCCTGATTTTCTGATGAAAAATTCCCATTTTTGAAGGGAAGGGAAGGAAACAAGAAAACAGTATTCTCACTTGCCATCTGAAATGCCCCCCACTCCCCTTTCCCATCT